GTTATTTACCCAAAGGCAATACAATTCCTGTTACTGAATCTGTTGTGTGATCGAAGCAGATGTTAAGTTATGTTACACTGAACAAAAACTTTAGATATGAAACAAAGTTACACGTCGAAATTGAACGTTGTTGCAGTCAGAACGCAACAGTATAACACTTCACTTAAACAACCTTTCATTTCGCAGTAAAAACACTGCATGTCGCGGTACTAAAGTGGAAGTAACATATGGTTTATATTACATGGACCTCCAAGGTAGCCTACTTCTGATGGTATTACCACTGTGCAGGTCCAAAAACATACTTTTGTTAATGATATCTGTCAAAAGTGACAGCTCTCAGCACAGACCCTCATCTAACTCCATATTTCTGAGAGGGAACAGCGATTCTTCAAAACACTTCCTCATCAGAAGAGAAGTAGCGCTCGAGCTGCAACACCTCAAAACTTCACAAACTTAAGAGGTTTTTATTTGCAACATGTAGCACCTCAAGGTTAACACGAATATTGAACACCTTTGAGTTTAATAAACAGCCAGATTCAAGCATTTTCAGACACACCCTGATGCTTCACTGAGTAGCCTACTGACAGTAAACTCACACAATAACATAAAACACTTACAAACTTCTTCTTTCCGTCTCCATCTTCATAGTTCTTCTTGCTTTTCTTATCCTTGTCTTTCCCACTTTTGGGAGCACCAGCTGAAGCTGAGTTTGGATCCATTGTTGTGCTTTAAAGTCGCTTATATTCCCGAAAAGAGCAGCGCCGGATCCTCACACACACACAGGCTCGTCTCTGTGCCTCTCAGCGCTTTTTAACCCGCGGCCTGTTGCTGTCGCGCGCGCCGGCCTGTGCTCGTCCTCCGGCACAAAGGAAAAGGAGGGAAGTTTGAACCCTGAACCCTGAGCCCCAGATAACTGCTTTTATTCGGACCCTTCGAGACTTAATACGCGCCCTGGTGAAAGCGCGCGGGTCTCTGAGTCCGTACGCGTGTTTTGGCGCAAATATGTCTCGATCTCGAATAAACAAACTACGCGTTAAGTCTCTAAACCTATCAATCTAAGCTGTCAATCTATAGAGCTGTCATTAATACCGCCGACGGTCGATATAAAGTCCTTGTGCTTCATGGTAAAGACTTCAGATTCAAAGAACAGCCATGAGCAGATCAGCTGAAGTTTTCCGCTTTCTCTCTCTCTCACTCTCTCTCTCTCTTCCTGTGTGTGTTGGGCAGGTCAGATGGGAGGAGCCATCACGCGCACATACACACACCTGAGTCACATCACACACACACAGGTAGACAAACACTGACGCCTGCTGACATCTCAGCTACACTCATGACAAACATGAAAATATGAATTAAAATTATTTATAAAAATGATAAATGTTATAAAAGGTTATGGTTATTTAATGGAGGGACTTGTTTTAGACAATTGCATAATAGTAATTTATGACAGCAATAATAGCACATTATACGACAAAATTAGAATAAAGAAACATTAAAAGGATAAAACTTCCCAAAAAGATTTAAAATGATTCAGCTCTGATAACATCAATATGAATAGTTATTTTGCAGAAGTCAGTTTGTGTACACTGTTCTATTATTTTATATGCCCAGTAGGCTATATTGTGTCATGTTTATTGAGAATATTGTTAGTGTGTATATTGAGTCTCCACATTATTTGCATACATTTTGTTTTCCCCACCCTACTTTTATTCAGCATGAATGTAATAAATTAGGATTAAATTAAACAGAAAAAGTGACAGCGAAGGCATTTATATTGTGACAAAAGATGTTCTTTTGAACATCCCATTCATCAAAGAATCCTGAAAAAAAATGTATCACGGTTTCCACAAAAATATGTTTTCATTTATTTTAGTTAGTTAGTTAGTTGTGAATTTATTTATTTTATTTAAAAATCAAGTTGGCCTATCATTTATTTCGCTTTATTTTCTTACTCACAGCATGATTTACTGCAGTTTACCGATACTTGGCATTTTATATTATGTGTTCTGTATACATCTAAAATCAATTAATCTGAAAATTGTAAAACTGTAGTTGATTGGAGAACTCATAGGCCGTGTTTTATGTCTGATTGAAGCGCGCCCCCTGCTGGTCAGAAGATGAGCATTCATGTTCATGTGGATTCAATAGGGGAAATTAATTAGTCCCATTAAAAGGTGAAAGCAGAACGGATCGTAATGAACTCATGCTGGTTAAGACACATTAAGAGTCATTTCACTCTGTTCATCTTTCCAGTGTCATTAACTTTAATGCCAGGCTTCAGCAACACTGGAGAGAAGTTGCTGAGAGTTGACTATTCAGCGGTGTGTGGAATTAACAGGCCTCGGACGGTCACGTGTAGGTCACGTGTGCCATGAAGGGACAAAAAGGAAAAGCTCTGTGCAGAAAGACTCTTTTTTTTTTTTAAAGCAATGCACAATATTTCCTCAAGCTCTGCAGAAATCAGTCTGATATTGTCCTCATTCGTCACGGCGTGTTTCATTGTAAATGTGCTGACTCAACCCAACCCAGTTTCACACCGAGTCATTATTCTCTACCACACACACTCCAATTTACCCAGAGCACTCATCTAAATCCCACCAGCGCGCGAAACCCACAGGAACATCTGGGGCTCCTGACAGCGAAGGGCCCCGGACTCACAGACTTCATAGTAATGATGGATTCTTGTAATGATGAGAATATTCTCTGTCATGCAGGGCTGCTCACACATAGGTATTGTTCTTCATGAATATACAGATTAACCTTAAACTTTACTAAAACTTTGCCAGAGATATTATTTTGTCTCTTTAGGAAGCAGTTTCTCCGTTGAGAACAGGCACGCATGAAATGTTTTTGGCTCAGTATAGGCTAAAAACAGTACATTAAGGTCTGAATTAGTGTTAGTAGGCTAAATTAGTGTCCAATTGCATGTTTTAAAGCAATAAAAGCAGAAATCCCTTGTGGGAATTACTGATTAGGTTAAATGAACTATCATCTATCATGAACACTAAACATTAGCTTGTGTTTAACACATCAAAACTCTCTCTCTCACACACACACACACACGCTCATGTCTGGTTCATATCTTTATGGGGACTTAGTCACAATGATGTTTATACTGTACAAACTGTATATTCTCTCCCCTAACACTAACTCTCCCTAAACCTATCACACACAACTATCTGCAATTTTACATTTAAAAAAAAAAACATCACTTATTAATATGATTTATAAGATGTTTTTCTAATGGGGACCAAAAATATGTCCCCACAAGGACAAGGATTTCTGGTATTGCCATCTTTGAGGGGACATTTTGTCCTCACAATGCAGGGTTTACCTGAACTATATCTACCTCAACACAGTTGGATATTTCTGTCATGGCCATTTGTTTCCTTCAGTGTTTGTGAGCTGCTCAGGAAGGCTCTTGAGGAGAGAGACACATTCATTTGTCTTGGTTTCATATTATGGGCCCCGGCGTCTCTCTCTTATCGACTCGCACCTGACTCTCTGCGTCTGTCATCACAGCTTTACCGCATCGGATGCGGATTAAGACAGATATCAGATTGATTTATATCTCTGCTGGCACTGGCGTCTTACGTAACTCCAGGAGAATAACTGTCAGACAAACGTCGATAGATGATAGGCTCCGCTGGCTGGAAGCCGGACTAATGACTGCTTGACTCATTTAGTTGCTGCTTTCATCCGAAGAGTCTAACAGGACACAATGGTGATGATTTAGAACGGTTTGAATCTGAAACTCTTTAACTCAGATCTTTAATGGGACAATTCAACCCTAAAATTATAATTCTGTCATCATTTACTCACCCAAATGACTTACTTTCTTCTGTGTTATTTTTAACTAAGACTAAAAATAGCCTAGTTTTTGTTAATTAGTTGAAATTAAATGAAATATAGGCTAATTATCAGATGAAACCATAAACAGACTGGCAACTAACTGAATTAAAATAAACCGAAATCATAATACTAAAATAACTAGGTTAATTAAAAAAAACTTGAAATTGAAAATGACCAAAGCATGTAACAAAATGACTAAAAAACAAACTAAAATACAAAAATGAATGCTTATTCCAAATATTAATACTATTATTACTTAATAACACTATAAAAATATATGAATAATACTAAAATAACACTGGATTAAACCACCATAAATGTTGTTCATGCAACTCATGAATTATCAAAACTTATTCTTTTGTGTTTAAGAAATACATTCATACAGCGGTGTGTTGTGTGTTTCCTGAGAGCATTGTTACCCGACTAGTTCTGTCGTTCCCAACATAATTCAACGATTTGCTGTTTCCAGAAACAAACTAAAGTGGTTGTTGGAGCTGCAGCTCTTGACCTGTTGTTTGATGCAGAGTTTCTTCTTAAAATGAAATGGCTCGAGAAGTAAGCTAATATTCAGTCCATTCTATATATTTAATCCCATTTAAATATATATATTAGCATGTCAACAATCAGTTTCGAAGAGTGCATGTGCACAAGGGAAGTCCGGAGTATGACGTATGAGGGAACCGGTGATGAATTAAACATCAAATAAAGCAAAATGACATGGAACAAAAACAGTGAAGTAGTCATTAGGTGTCATGTTCGTTACAGCAGCGTCTCGGAGATCTGGAATAGATTAATCAGCAGAAGTTATTACTCCTTCACCTGTTTGTGACGACAGTCCTACTAATGTGCTTCAGAAGAGGGGCGGCCATGTGACTAGTTTTCAGGAAACAGTCGAGACTAGATGGTTAGTTTCTCCAACGATGCTTCACACTATAATCAACAAATGACATCGTTAAACGGGAAACACACCCCAGGTTTGGAAAACGCAAGGTATGGATGTAAATGATGACATGAGGATGAAGAAATGATTCCTTTAACCCCGAGGCCGTAAGCTCTGAGGGCAAAGTCCTCTTAAGCCTCATGTTTGCTTCTTCTCATCAACCGTGATCAATATCAGCAGGGCTTTTCAAAATTTCCAGACACAGATGGTCATGAATGTGAGATTTAATCATGGTTTAACACCGTACAAGAAAATAATCTGTATTACATAATGCACACAACTTGTGATAAACCCTATATGGGCAGAAAAGGCCGTGCAGAAGTACAAAACAGTCACTATATACAGACAGATCAATGAGTCCGGCTTCAATCCGTGCTGGTTCTGTTATCCAAACCGCTTCGCATCCTACCGGGTCAAACGGGTCATTTGTAGGAGCTGCGGGCCTCTCGCAGTGACCGGTCGTAAGGCATGGAGGCGAAGAAAGAGTTCCTCAGCTGACAGTTGATGAAGAACACGATGAGGAGGACGAGGAGGAAGAGCACCAGACACATCACCACATACGTGGCCAGGTCGGGTTTGTCGGGCTCTCCCTCTCGCAGAGAGCTCCCCCGGCCCGTGGGCTTCAGGAGGGCCGACACACTCACGGGCCCGTGGGACACGTTCAGCGGCGCCTGCGTGTGTGTGTGGGTCATCAGGTCGAAGTCTCGCGCCGCTGCCGTGGAGTTCAACAGCATCTGCCTCAGCATGATCAATCTAGCCTGCAACAGACAAATATACACCAGATACAGTATGTGTGATTATAGGAAGCAGTCACGTGCAGTATAAGCATTATCATTGACTAAACATATCTGAAACACACTGGGGCTAGTTGTCACAGAGTCTTTATCTCAGGTTTTGAGTCAAATTGTACAAATGCTTCTTTTTTTTAGCAGAGGTTTTGTTGGGTGGTTTTCCCTAGCAGTGTTTTTGTGAATGTTATCCTCTAAACTATTAACCTAATATCAACATGTTTAGGTTGGCTAAATAAGTGAACACAGTGAAATCATATTGACATAAAATAACACAAAAGTCGCTATATATATATATATAGGACAGGTGGATTTGAACTGAAGTGTTGAATGTGCCCTCATGATACGTATTTTACATACAAGGCAGGTTGGGGCAAGTTGTCACATGGTTTTGTACAGTTCATTAACAAACACTTTCCACTGGCCAAAACAATGTTTTGTTTATTTATTTAAGACTATTTTTGCTCTTTCATGAATTGAGTTTATATGACTAATTGTTTCATTTTTAATTCACTCATATTTTGCTTTTTTGTTACTAAACATAGCATTTTACATATTTTTTAACAAAGGTTTTCTTTTCAAACTCATCGAGATAACTCACCCCATATCGTGTGCCAACATGCCCCGATATAAGTTTATAACGTGTGCTCAATAAACAGTATATTTTATGCAGGGAAATTACGGTGAAAATGAAACAGTGATCAAGACTTTAATATTTGGGTCTGCGCAGTAATTAAGTTTCATAAAATATACACCGACCTAAGAAATAAGCTTTTAACTAGAATAAAAAATTTAACAACTTACCCCAGTCTCCTTTATCTATAATGTAAATACAGGCTATTCAAAACGATATTTTAATGCAATAACCAAAAAATATATAATTTACTAAAAGCAAATGAAAACACCGTTGAGGTAAGCGTTTGGATAAGATAAGCGTTGCGCAGGGATCCACTCACTGTCTGTGCGCCTCGGACAGGAGCGTGAGTCGTTGCGTTCGCATACCACACTCTCCCCAAGACCAGCAGACCTCCTCCAACACACCTCAGACGGGGGCTCTGGTCATCGGCACTACATCCACAGATGGCGCAAACAGTCTATCCATGTCCCACAATGTGCGTTTCCATAGAGTCTTGCGCTATCGGAGAGAGTGGACCTCTCCAATCACACCGACGGATCCAAATCTCCCCAAACGTTTCGATAAACGCGCAGTGAAGCTCACAACGGATCTCAGTATCTTCGCATACACAGAATCACTCCTTTCACACAGGTTTCCATGGTTTGGAAGGTTTATATCCGGGGACAGTGGCTCTCCACACGCGCATCCGTCATCCACTACCTCAGGTGATTGGTGCCAATCGATCCGGTTCGGCTGGAGAGGAAGAGAACAAATGAAGGAAACATAGAAACGAAAGATTAACGAGCAGTTATCTGTGCGCAATGGAGATGGAGACGCGTAAATGTCTCTCTCTCTCTCTCCTCAGACAGACTCTTCAATTTGAGAACAAGTGAGTGGAAGAGTTTCAGGAGGGTGCGGAATGTCTCGGAGAGGTTTTACAGAGAGAGAGAGAGAGAGAGAGAGAGAGAGAGAGAGAGAGAGAGAGAGAGAGAGAGAGAGAGAGAGAGAGAGAGAGAGAGAGAGAGAGAGAGAGAGAGAGAGAAACAAACATGCAGCCTATCCGCTGAGCCAGACATTTAAAGGGACCGTTTGAGCTGCTGATGTCATGATGAGTTATTCTGGCTCAGAATTGTGCGTGATGTCGCATGTTGGATCATCAAATGTGTGTTACTGTCGTTGAACTGTATGTGCAGTGCAAGGGTGCTGTGTTCCATTAAAATAATGGATCCTTCTCATGCATTAGGCTGCGGTGACTGACATAGGCTTACTAAAGTTTGCTGAAAACCATAGTAAACACAGGTGGCAATGAGACAGACACGTGTAGAAAGCCACAGAGAATTAAAGCTCATCACAAGTAGCTTTTCTACAAGCTGAGACAAATACTGATATATAGAAGATGCACTCAACTACAAAACACTACCATGGTAAAACATGACACTAAAACATTCAATAAACACGTGTTTAAGAACATAATACAACATAACTGAATAAGAAGAGAAAAAAAACCTAAGAAGAAACACTTATTTCAATGAAAATAAAAGTCACACAGATAATTCTTGGAACATCCGTACATGTTTTCACTGTAAATTATAAGATGACTCGTTCTTCCAAAACCGTTTACATTTTTCCATATAGATTTTTTTTTTAGTTTTTCACCAAATATCGTAGGGAACTTAGCCTCTAGTACTGTTAAAATTATGCAATAAAACTGAATGAGACCATGGAGTCTAGTGGATTTGACTCTGAAGAGCATGAAATATACTTTACTTTCTCTTTAATACAAAATAAATCTGGCATGCATAATGTGCCAAGTTTGGGATAATTTCTAGAAGAATCAGCTCATCATTTTAATAATCTAACTGACCCATTCATTCAATTTTTCTTAAGGAATTAGCCCTGCGGAGTGTGATGTTCAAGTAACCTTTAGTGTTGAAGCTCATTAATATTCATATAACTTTGAGGACACGCCCTCCTTTTGTTAATCACATCATATCACAGCTCAGAGGTTAAATGGCTCATCAATATTCATCAGCACCTGTCTTGAATTAGCAATGAACGGTGCGATGAGGACAGCGTCACATTGGTTGGGTGACCCCACTAAAGTGAACAGACGGGCCGATTGGACACGACCATAACATGTCATTTAGACAGAAAGTGTTTATGCAGCAGTTTCATTCACTACACCATTAAAAATAAAGCTTCTTCTTAAGTTGATATATTTTAAAGAAAAACTTAGGGTTAGAAAATGATGACAATTCTCGTATTTCAATGAATTATTCCTTCAGAATCCTCTTAACAAGACGCGTTTTTGTAGGGCTTTTATTGCTTTGTGAAAGCTATTCATGTTACATTATAGGTTCTTCAGATCAGTGTTTCGGTTTCTGGGCTTTTTAAAACACCAGTACACTTAAGAACTAAAAACTCTTCTTTAAGAGAACCACACTTTAAACCCTCACCCTGCAATTTGCATAAAACTGAAGTTATTTAAGAGTCTTATGCCTCTCAATCTGTAATCTGAATAGATGTAGAATAGGCATCTCACCTCATCTCATCTCCTCTATGTGTCATCATTATTCTTGTATGGTAATCTATAACCAAAGATATTTAGAATCACATGGATGTGAAAATGCGAACCTGGAGTGCTTTGCATTCATAATGCATATTATAAGCAAACTTAACCAGGGCTTGACATTAACTATTTTGCTCACCAGCCACTGTGGCTAATAGTTTTCCAAAATTATTAGTCACTCAGCATTGTCTCTGGCCACAATTTTGACATTGAGATATTTTTAATATTATCTCGTATTCAGGTATGTTAGGCTGCTGTCACTTTAAGACCTGACACACGGATCCATTATACTGTTACACATGCGTATTCATTCTCAATTGTTTACGTTAAAACATGACTAACTGTGTTTACAAGAATTCTCGCCAAGATATTTTGTGTGTATTTGATTGTTTAAGCACAATAAACAGCGAAAAATAACTCAGTTTAGTACTGAGACGTGCATGGCTTTATCTGAGAGCACTTTGGGTGTGAGCACAAAGTCTATGGGAATGAGTAAAATTATGCACAATATGTGTAATCCCATGCCGAAATTCAAGCCCTGTAACATCTGGAGCAAATGAAACGAGTGAGTGAAGGGAGGCGTAAATATAAAGCAATATTAAAAGTAAAGGGACCTTTTCAAAAAACTACAATTGAAATATATACACTACCGTTCAAAAGTTTGGGGTCGGTACGATTTTAAATACTTTTAAAAGAATTCTCTTCTGCTAACCATGGCTGCGCTTATTTGATTAAAAATACAACAAAAATCAGTTATTGTATTAAATATTATTCCAGTGTAAATCAGCTGTTTTCTGTGTGTATATATAGTAAAGTGTAATTTATTCCTGTGATCAAAGCTGAATTTTCAGCATCACCAGTGTCAGTGTCTTCAGTGTCAAATGATCCTTCACAAATCAGTATAATATGAGGATCTGATGCTCAAGAAACATTTATTATTATTATCAATGTTGAAACAGTTGTTGGTCTGTCAGTTGTACAGTTTTTCTTTTTTCTTTTTTAGGATTCTTTGATGAATAGGAAGTTCAAAAGAACAGCATTTGTTTGAAATAGAATCTTTTGTAACATTATAAATGTCTTTACTGTCCTTGATAAATAAAAGTATTGATTTCTTTCCTCCAAAAAATAAAAATAAAAAACTCACTGACCCCAAACTTTTGAACGGTAGTGTATATATATATATATAAAATTCAAATGGCCAAAGTGGCTAATAGGAGTGACTGTGTTACACACCACTGCTGAAATCCACACACATTTGGCAGGTTGGCGGGTGTTAATGTCACGTTCTGAACCATACACTTAAAGTACGTTCTGAGATGCTCTTGGAGTTTGTTTTTAAGCGTTCACACACATAAGTGAAATTCTTGCAAATCACACCCAGACACCTGAAACAATCCAAAACACACTTAGGACAGATATGCTTCAAAATAAATACCTGGTGTGACGTCATTTCCAACATAATCAGGTCAAAACTTTCCAAAGAGTTCGTTTGTTCGTTTAGGGCAGGGGCGTAGAATTTAGTAGGGACGCTAGGGACGTGTCCCTACCAATATCCAGTGACACTGATATATCCCTAGCAATAATTTCGATCAAAACTTAAAATATAGTTATATATTGATGTCCCCGTCCCCACCAATTCTAAAATCAAACCTACGCCACTGGTTTAGGGAGTTCTTGTGTAAGTGAAGTTTCTGGAGAAGTTCCCTCCAGATGGTCAACATTGCTTTAAAGCATAAAGTGTATAAACGTGACAGCTTGTTTGTTTTGTCGAGAAGAAAGCGTACAGCACGTATTTACCCAAGGCTGCATCTCAACGTATCTTATTTTTAGTGAAGAATGAAAAGAGGACTTTGTGCGAGTATATCAGGGCTTACAAAGCCTCATGCTCAACTTGCCACATTATTCACCTTTATCAAATGCTGCCTAAAACATTTGGGAAAAAGCTGTCACACGACTGCCAAAGCCTGAGAGCATGGCCGTCTGCATCAGATGACCAGGTTAACCAGCTCTAGGAAGACTTTGTCGCCTCGTGTAAGCATCTTACACACAAGCGCTTTGCCTAAAGTGCAGAAATCTCCACGCCTGCGCCGCGGCTCAGCATAAATATCCTCCGGTGGTATTTGCTCCCGCTGAAGGGAAGAGCGTAGCTGTAATTGCGTCGGGATAAGGAGATTATAATTGCTTTGCAAATGACACTTTTCCTCTAAAGGGCTCGTTTTGCCACTGGAAGCCTTCCTGCCTCCCCCACCAATACACTGACCCATTTTTCTGTTCTTGCGCTGTCCAATTTAATCTACCTCACTCGCTGACAAGTCCCTCGCCTTTATGAAACTCCACCTGGAGGGCCGTTATGATTCTAGAGATAGAGTGGACATGGACGGAAGCAAGCGAGAAAACAAATCCAAGGCAGTATTTTTAGACATATCTTTGTTCGCCCTAATTAGTATCTGGCCTGGCACTAGAATTTAACACGTATATGTTAAGAAAAAGCCACCGTTCTCCCCCCTCAGCTCTCTCGTCGCCCCAAAAGATGTAAAATCACACTTGAGGACAACGGCAGATAGACGACACGCGACGGATGCGCAAGCTTTCCTCCTACGCTCCCGCTGATGACTGGAGCTTGTTCTCGGCAGGGGAGACACGGGGTAATGTGAGATAAGTCTTCCCACCACAGGCCAGAGAGCCTCCTGTGTTCCCTAATGAAGGTCTGCGATTCACACGCTCTTCGTCAAGTCCAGCTCTGGGTCTTTTCGAGGTTATGTGAAGTTAGCATCCCACTGACGTCTGTCATGAGCGGCTCGTGACAGAAATGCACACGAGGGGAAGAGGGAAATGTTTATAGAGGTGTGCCATGGAATTAGTTTAGCACCTAAAATAGATCACGTCATGCAGATTATATTTTCTGCATTCAGCAGACGTACTTCAGAGAGGCTTATGAAAAGTGCTTTAACGTCAACTGATGGCAAAGCATGCAATTTAGGAAGTTACAACATGATGTTTGGGATTCAGACTCTCGC